AGTAAACTCTCCATATATACACAAGGTCAATGATAGTAATCTCCATCAAATTTAGGGATATAGAACCAAAAAGAAAACTTATTTCCCTCATGATTTGACTCGCTCTCTCAAACACATACAAACACAATGAACTTTTGTATCTCACAAGAATATGAAACAACGTCACTTGTTATTCTCGTAATTCCCATAGTCAATTATCCAGCTTTTTCAATTCTCTGTCTCGCTTAGACCTCTGTACCACGATAAAAGTTGGAACAAGGAAAAAAATACACCTTCATTCTTTCGATAAACCAAACCATTAGTGCATAACTCTAGCCAATAAACTCAACAAATACTAACAAATATAATCCACATGATCCTAGAAGTAGAAAACATGATAAACTAACTTGACTTCTAAGCAAATATGTAACGCTAACCCAAATGGGCTAAACATACACATGTTGATGTGGAGTAAGTGCCTTCCTTTGGGCGACTAGTGAAGTCACAATGTCACATCATGCTGGGGCATGCATTCCTGTACCTGGACTCCGGCCATTATGCGATTACTTTTGATGTTTTTATTGGATATATATAACCACACATGTACCAAGCATCTCTAAATGAATTCTAGAGGCAGGCCAGATCTAAGCTTTAACTTGAGGAAATATCTTGTAAACCAAGCAAAGCTATTGAGTAATTTAGCCAAAAACTTTTAGTGAATTTGATATGATTTTCTTGAAGTACTTGACCGATCTTTATGAGTAAGTGATATGAGATACGGACTCTTTCAATTAATCAAGTTACTGAGATCAGTTGTTTATGACATTATATTAATAGTTTATCGGTACAAGGATTTTCCCAGAGGATTATCTTGATTCGTCAGATACCCTTCATGGATGAGCTTCTCGGTACAAGAATTTTCCTAGACGCAGAACTCTCTTTGATATGCCAAACAAACGTGGATCTCTCCTGGATCCACCAAACATACGCGGATCTCAAATTCTGAGGTCACCGAATGAGGGTCCCACCAAACTAACGTCCACCATCCCGACCAAAACAAGGCTCTTATACCACTTGTTGAAATCGGGCCGCTCCATTAGTATGATATTGTCCACTTTGGGCCAAACCCGCACGGTTTTACTCTTGGATGTCTTCACCAAAAGGCCTCGTACTAATTGGGCTATGTGGACACTAATATACAATGGTTCCTTCCCTTGTTTACCGATGTGGTACTTGGATTGTCACATAATAATCCTCCCCTCAAGACAAGGACCACGAATTTTGTGTCCTCTCCTCAGCGATTATTTTGATCCGTCAGACACCTTGTATCGATGAGCTTCTCGGTAAAACGATTTTTCCAGACTCAGAACTCTCTTTGATATGCCAAACAAACGTGGATCTCTCCTGGATCCACCAAACAAACACAGATCTGAAATCCCGAGTTCATCAAATGAGGGTCCCACCAAACTGACGTCCATCGCCCCTAACCAAAACCAGGCTCTTATACCACTTGTCGAAATCGGGCCGCTCCATTAGTATGATATTGTCCAATTTGGGTCAAACCTGCACAGTTATACTCTTGGGTGTCTTCACCAAAAGGTCTCTTACTAATTGGGCTATGTGGACACTAATATACAATGGTTCCTTCCCTTGTTTACCGATGTGGTACTTGGATTGTCACATAACAATCCTCCCCTCAAGACAAGGATCGCGAATTTTGTGTCCTCGCCTCAGCGATTATCTTGATCCGTCAGACACCTTGTATCGATGAGCTTCTCGGTACAAGAATTTTTCCAGACTCAGAACTCTCTTTGATATGCCAAAAGAACGTGGATCTCTCCAGGATCCACCAAACAGACACGGATATAAAATCCCGAGGTCATCGAATGAGGGTCTCACCAAACTGACTTCCACCGCCCCAAACCAAAACCAGGCTCTTATACCACTTGTCGAAATCGGGCCGCTCCATTAGTATGATATTGTCCACTTTGGGCCAAACCCGCACGGTTATAATTTTGGGTGTCTTCACCAAAAGGCCTCATACTAATTGGGCTATGTGGACACTTATATACAATGGTTTCTTCCCTTGTTTACCGATGTGGTACTTGGATGGTCACATAACAATCCTCCCCTCAAGACAAGGACCACAAATTTTGTATCCTCGCCTCAGCGATTATCTTGATCCGTCAGACACTTTGTATCGATGAGCTTCTCGGTACAAGGATTTTTCCAGACCTAGAACTCTCTTTGATATGCCAAACAAACGTGGATCTCTCTTAGATCCACCAAACAGACGCGGATCTCAAATCCCGAGGTCACCGAATGAGAATCCCACCAAACTGACGTCCACCTCCCCGAACCAAAACCAGGCTCTTATACCACTTGTTGAAATCGGGCCGCTCCATTAGTTTGATATTGTCCACTTTGGGCCAAGCTCGTATGGTTTTACTCTTGGGTGTCTTCCCTAAAAGGCCTCGTACTAATAATTGATTTGTTGCTTATAGGATTAATTGCATGGTTAGTCACTGAGTTTGCAAAAAACGTTCATATTTGGTCACTCGAAATATTTAAATCCATTAGTGGTCACTCGAATTAGTTAAATGGTTCAAGTTTAGTCACTCTCCGCTAGTCTCCGTCAGTTTCCGTTAACATCGTCAGTCAATTGCTGACGTGGCTAACAGAAGTGCTGACTCACCCAATTTTAACCTGCCACGTCACCAAATCCGACCCGCCACATCATCTCTACAACCCAGCCCTTCGCAATCTTTACCCAATCCTCCGAGCGCAAGTCAGATCCGCTTTCTGTCTGGCCTCGGCGATCAATTCGGCGGCGGATCTGGATCCCGGCCGGCTCTGCATAGCGTTGGTTCCTAGGCTCGAGAGGCTGATGTAGAACGACGCGTACAAGGCCTAGTGCGCCGGTTTGGTCGTTCTAGAAGTGTGATTGGAGCGGGAGGAGGAGTCAGGGGATACAATGGGATGAACGGCCTCATGAAATGCTTGACCGAATTTCTCAGCAATCAGGGTTGGGATGCTAGAAAAGCTGCGATGGAGGCGCTCGGGAGATTGGCGATTGCGGAAAGAGACATCGTTGCCGAGTTCAAGACCGATTGCTTGAAATTTTTCGAGACAGGAGATTCGATAAGGTATTTCGATTTGTAGCTTTTCCTTATCTCTTCGTTGCCAAACATACATTTCTGACCAATTGGAGTTGTGGTGTCTAGGTTAAAGCAACTAATGGGTCGGGTTTGGTGATGTGGCGGGTTAAAATTGGTTGAGTTAGCACTTCTGTTAGCCACGTCAGCAATTGACTGACGGTGTTAACGAAACTGACGGAGACTAACGGAGAGTGACTAAACTTGAACCATTTAACTAATTCGAGTGACCACTAATGAATTTAAATATTTGGAGTGACCAAATATGAACGTTTTTTTTTTGTAAACACAGTAATCAACCATGCAATTAACCCGACACTTATATATAAGAGTCTATTATCTTATATTATCGATTTGGTGTCTGGATTGTCACATAAGACGAGTCTAAAAAATTTCCATGTTTTCAATTAACTTTTTGTCAAGTGTAGATGAAAATATTTTAGTGTGGGCCGATCGAATCTAGGCATTGCTTTGCCATATTGGATCCATTTTGTGGGCAGGAGACTCACGCGGCAGTAAACTGGTGGACTTCTTCACCGTTATTTCCTTTCTCTTCTTTTGTGTTTGTGTCAGCGTTATTCCCTTTCTCTTCTTTGTTTTAGTGCCATAATAAAAATAAATCAAAACAAGTAGTCTCAGACAACTTTAAGGGTTTGACTTCTACAGTTCTGTCCATCTGTTCCACATGGCTATAGCCGATTCCTCCGACATGGTCTTCCATATTGCGGAGGGAATTGAGCATCAGACTTGAGTTTTGACCCCAATGAAAAATCACTGAAACATGGAACTAAAACCACAATGGAGTGCTTGCCATGCGATCGAAGAACATGCATGGAAAAATCTAATTTTTTTCATCATTATATCAACATGGCATTTAATTTATATCTCTAACATCCTAAAGGTAGATTGAGCTACATTGAACAAGGATGCATTAGGAAACTTTATCGTACCGGCCTGTCGGACTGGAAATATCAGATACCGAACTCAAAATGGTAGATGGTTATAGCGATAGGAAATGATTCAATCATGATTAAATCACAATTTTGATACAAAATACCCCACCACTCATTATTCCGGTATAACCTTTGATACGGTTTCCTTAACCTTGTCATTATAGATATTGTAAGTTTAGAACTATAATTTAAGGTTTTTTCTTTATGAAGAGGAACTGATATAAACTCCAGCCAGTACAATTGTTTACTGAACTATCTATGATGTTAGGGGTTCAGACACCTATTTGCAATGGGAAAGTCACGATTCAACGCAGAGAGTGTCCATTTTTATAAAAAAATACGACAAATAAATGTCATTAATTCACACACATATCAACAGTATAATTTATAGCTGAAAAGTAAAACTGCCACCCCCATTCAAATTTTCCTGTCCATAGAGTGATTTTAAGAAGCTGATGTGGCAGGGTGTTGAGCGGGAAAAAAATATAACTCCCCGCCAGATTGCAGAACTAAGAATCGTCCACTACCCACTTTTTTCTCCTGGTTTCCCACGTTATCATTTAGTTATTATTTATTTTTCATTTAATTTTCGCTTGGCTGAAATACCACCTTTTCTACTGGGTTCCCACGTTATTCTTTTGCCTACCCGCAGGACAGGAGGAGAATCAGTTTCCATCGGAAAATTCTGGTAAGAGGGCGTCACGGTTTCGTGTTCAGCGGAGGAAGGCGCTGACGGCCGGCTGTTGCTGAGTTCATGGGAAGACGACCAGACGTTTTGGTGGTCAGTGGCGGAAAGCAGTGACGGCCCGCTTCTGCTGCGACTGAGGAGATCGCGTTTGGGAGTGCAGCGAACGATCTCCGTGGCGAAGAGGTTGTCGACGATCGAGGCTTTCCCTTCCGGCGGCGAGAAGCACAACTACTGCCGCCGCCACCACCGTCTACCCCGCCGCCACGAACCCTGCTTCTTCTTTCTTCTCTGCTTCAACCTCTAGAAGGTCGCTACAAATCGCTCCAGCTACTCGCATCCGTTGAGGAGCCATCGCCGCTGGGCTCGACGCAGCTGCTACGGCCACCGCCGCCATCAGCGAAGCGCTCATCATCCCCTTCTTCTCCCACCCGCTGCCGTTTTTCCGTTTCCTTCCGCCGAGCACTTCACCACTCTCCCTCTCTTCGCCATCAACGGCAGCCCTGCATATCACCCAATCGATTCAATTTCTTGGTTCCCCCAAGCTGAATTGATAAAAGCCAGAGGAAATTGTGAATTTCAGGGGAGGGGGGCGTCAAGAGTACTCACCGAGAACTGGGGCGGAGGAAATCCCTAGAGAGGGGTTGCGACGGAGAGATGCATGGATGAAGGAAGAAGCTGTGGTTTTGGCGGAGATGGACGCCATTTTTCACACTCTGACCCTGGGAAGGAAGGAAGGGATTAGGACGGTAGCTGGTTCTATGAGAAACTACTGGAAGTAGTGAGCTTTGCAGAGGTGATATAATTTGCACAGCTTAATACTGACCATAGAATTTGCCCCCGTCACAAAGTTCCATGCTAAGTTACTCTCCTTATTGGATCTTTTAGTTGTGTATAATTCTTGGTTTCGTGATATGGTATTGGAGATATGAGCAGGTGAGGTTTGGAACGGACCAGAGCATTAGCAGCAGTTGGTTGTGAGATGGTATGTGTACAATGGAATCATGGTAATTACTTGGCTCTACTCATATAGGTAGGCTATATTTGAACCTCAAGGGAAGAATTCTCTTGCCACTTTTTAAGCTTTTTGTTTAGGTTTCCAACGTCAATGTGTGCCTGCTTTATGTCAACATAATCAAGCTTAATTGAAAGCAATACTTCCCACTTTGTTCACTCAATTTTTCTGTGTTTCACGACTTTCTTATCTAACTTTTTTGTTTCTAAATTGCCTCTATTTTGGATATAACTTGCAGTTTAGGCTATGTAATCGACAACTAATGATTTAATCCATGACCTTCGGAAGAACGGTTTGAGTTTACATTTTCCTTATGTCATTAGTTCTTATAAGTAATTTGTTGAGTTCTTATGCTAATGTACGGTCTCTTTTTTCTTTTTTTCCTTTAGTAGTTTGGTTCAAGAAATCATGTGATCATTAATTTTTTCTTTAAGATCACTAGGTTCATCGATTTAGTTTGCCAATTAAGCATTTAACCTTCGTTTAGTTCCTAATTGAGAGCGTAAGATCATTTGTATAATAATAGTACATGCCTCCGATACTGTGTTAAGATGGAACTGAAAGGAGTTGGATGTAATGTCTTTGTTTGGTCCACTTTTATTCAGTGTTCAAGAAGACGCGATTAATCTCTCGCCTAGGCGCGATTAATAGCTGGGCAGAAGGAAATCGCCCAGTCTAGCTCTGGGCGATTGATCTAGGCACCTGGGCACTCGGAGACGCGTTTTCACTTTGGTGGGCGACGCCCAGAACAACTAATAAAGGGGAAATTGTTGCCTTTTTGTGAAAATCCCAAACCCTATTCTATTTCCCCTTTCCACCCGCTCTGTAGCCTCCTCGAGAACCTGCCCAATCCTCCTGGAAGATTGATCAATCTGCACTCGCATTTGCCGGATTTGGTAGGCTAACTGGGTTGCCGGCGCCAATAGTCTCTCGAAGGCCCAGAGGTTTCTATTTTTCCATAGTTGCCAACAGAAAGTAGCGAAGAGGGATGCGTCTATCGGTCTATGGTATTAATAGTCATCTTTATCACTATGCTTTTCATTTTATTTGTTGCTTCTAATTATAATGATCAACAGATAAGTCAATAAAATATGTGATCGCGTTGACCTATGAATCAATTTGGAATTGTGCAAGTTATTGAAAATAAACACTATTTCAAGAGACATTGTTTTATGCAGGTATAACAGCTCCATTCTCTACTAGCAAAAGCAAAGTCGATCATTTGCCTGGAGGGAGGGAAACATCTTTGGGAATCTTCTTGAAATTCCCCGACTTTTATTGTTGATCATCTGACCTTCCAAAAATAGCGATGAGCATAATGTAATTGTCCATTTTTTTGCAAGAGGATAATAGATTACCAACTAATTCACTAATAATTCTTGAGCTTTACGGATGGTATTCTTTTTAATTAATTTTCTTTATTATAGTTATTTATTGTTGTAAATTTTTACTTCATAATGTTAGTATACGTGTAACTATAAACATAATTGTTGAAAGCGTACTAATATTTGTGGATACTCGAAACCTAATATGCTATGAAATAGGTGGCAGACACAAGGACTGTCGTAAATTTAGCATATGTTATACTATCGAGCTAAAAGCCGAGCACAAAGCTAAGAACAAATTTATGGGCACACAAATTTTTGACAAAAAAGTTTTTATTTGTTGGTGGTACATATTTGTTATAAATTTTTAGAATCTTTCAAATGACATAGTAGACAAATCTATAAGTGTTGACTTTTAGATATCAAAGGCAACACCAAAATCAATTATAAAAAATCCATATTGATTTCCGAAAATCATGAATCTTTTTCAGAAACTTTATTTTCACAACAAATGATTGTATGTTTGAACTATAGAGTGCCTTATTTAATTAAAATTTTGAAGAAATAATTGGAATATTTCAGATATGTCCATTATAACACAATTGTACTATCCGTATACATTAATGTTAGCTATTAACAACCACAACTGCTTTTGGAGATATATATTATTTAAAAGTGAATTATTAGTTAATAATTTTGTATTTTCTCAATTAGTACCTAATGGTTGTCGACCATAAAATTTGAATCCTTTATTTGATAAATTTTTATCCCTCCAAATTACTAATAGGGAAAATCCCTTGGAGTTTATAATTAATACTTTAATGCTTAATTATTTTATTTTCATGGATATAATAGAAAAATAAGTGAATAATATCAAATTTTATGAAGAAATATTTTTTAAGTAATTTATTCTAACAATAGGAAGTGATTTTTTTCTTAGATGTAAAAAAATATATAGATAACAGTAAGCGATAGCATATTAGCATGATCAATACAAATACTTATAAACTAACTAATGTTACAATCAATAATTCGCACAAATATTAGTTTCCACCCACTAATAAATTATTTAGACGATCCCAAATTATTTGAAAATATGAAAAAATAAATTAATATAAAAATATAATAAATAAAACTAAATTCATCCGACCAATGGGTCGGGTAAAAAGCTAGTTGTTTAAAATAATCAAAAATAAATTTATTGTTTGCAAATTGAAATTTTGCGCACTAATTTCATATTTCAAATTCATATTTACTACCTTACTAGTAATGGATATCTCACCATAATGCCACTCATCTATAGTTCTTCATTATAAGTGATATTCTCTACAATGATTCAAACTTTATTACGGTCATCTGCAAATGATCACCATGGCTTGGAAAAAATGATTGACCTATAAGCATATGTGGTAGACTGTATAAACTATTGTATGTTCTGTTACGATCAACAAGTTGTCGACCTGATGGCTCATAGGTCGACCTAATGACTCAAGTGGTCGTCTGCTTATAAAAATTGGTCCGTCTCACGTCAACTATTTGTATATGTTCCTTCTTCTTTGTAATTGCTTAACTTCCTTTTACATATTGATATAAGATTCTGAGTCTCGTTTTACATGCACTACAGGGAAAATGTCTTTTAATCATGGTAAATCCTGTATTTAAAAGCATTTTCCCTTGATTATTGATTTCAGTGATGAGAAATTTACCGTAATATAAAGTTTCGTGACTAATTGTATACCATGACTAATTGTATACTTAATTATAACTAGTCACGGTGTAATTTCCCCTGATTATTTGTACCTATTAATCGCAGGAAACATTGTGCCTAATGTCAACTTTGGAGCACATATCTAAGAAAAAAAATACATTTAAAGACAGTATGTACTTCTTTTAAGATGGTATTTACCGTGACTATATGTCTATCACTTGTCACGGTAATTTACTTTGGCTAATTACAAACCGACAATCACAGTATTTTCCTATGACAAATTACAATACCTATACAAGATTAATTATTTATTTTCTCATTACCAATAACAAAATATTATTAACAATCTAAAGAGTATCAAATCTTGTAGTCAATAATTATTTTATAAAGTTACAATATGCATCACAGTAATAGCTAGATCTCTACTTCTCAATAAACTATCTCATTATTACTTCTAGGGTTATAGGTATAATATGTCGCTCTACTATGACGTTTTATCAAACATGCCCCTCTACTATTTTTCACATCAAACATGCCCTGTACTTTGACAAAATTATCAAACATGTCCTTCTGCTAAAATTTTCATTGAAAATATCATCAATTATGGTTGAAGTGAGATTTAGACGACCCGATATTGGCAAATGGGAGGGAAAATATCAGTTTTGTCCCCCATTTTATTTCCCTGGGTCTCTTCAAAGTGAAATTATTAGAATTATTTGACTATAAAACAGAACCAAAAAAAAATTAAAGTGAAATTATTATGGATATTTTCGACATTTGTGTCGCCCAAACCAAAGTCCGGCGTTGGTTAACGATTTTTGGATGAAAATTTTAACAAAAGTGCATGTTTGATAATTTTTATAAAGTACAGGGGCATGTTTGATGTAAAAAATAGTAAAAGCGCATGTTTAATAAAACATCATAATAGAGAGGCATATTATCCGTATAATCCTTACTTCTACGATATGATGGTCGACATCAAGTAGTCTATATAGAGTCAACGTTTTGATATTTCATCCTTCTTCTAGTAAACAAAATCTTCATGCCACGAACTCTATCCCAAGCAACCATCACTGATGCATGAAACATGCATGGAAACCTAGAAATTGTCAAGGTAAAAACATGTTATTTCATGTCTTCTAATATCGGCAATCGGAGGAGTTGCACATATACTATAGCTAACTTGCAATCATGTGGGACAAAAAATGTCACTTGGCAATAGTAGATATTCAAAAATAGCAACTAGTGTAATAGTTTGACTGAAGGAAGAGCTAGCAATACCTGTTGGGCTGTTACAATCGTAAAAACGGCAACCAGACTCATTGATTCTTCAAAAACCGCAGCTAAAATCACTTGTTCTGGTTCCTCGACTGCAACATCTTCTTTAGCATCATCTCAGTCTTATTCATCCAACAGGACAGAGGAAAACATGGGAAAACATAGCATTAAGAGAACATTAAAAAAGCGAGGAGCCAATTAGTCATGGATCAAACAAATGGTCAAAGAATATCAACATTCCAACATCTTTTCATGAACAAGTTTTACAGTCAATCAACTATCTTCTGAAATATAACAAACTAGTAGTCTTTTCACCTCCTAGAACCACGCACCTACACATTCTTGAATATCTATTATCTAGCAGTCAAATTATGGTGAAAATGCAGAAAGGAAATTAACAAGGAAAACAGGTAAATTGTTGAGTTTTCAAAAGCGAGAAGAGTCACTCGGGTATGTGTCCTCCTAGCTCCTCAATTAGGTCCAAGTTGTAATTTTCTTTGGTCTTTTTACTATTAATTAAAAGGATCCGATAATAGGTTGGAATCTCTTAAGTTGACCAAGCCTTCTCATCAAACACAATACCCGACATACAACTAACCTTCACCGGAATGAATGCTAAGGAAATTCACAAAGATCTCCACTACTTGAAATGAATTCCAGTACAAAGGAGTGGAATGATTGAATCTCGCACAGTCAAATTTAATACTATCAATCAATGAAGCTCTCTTAACCTAATCAATTTACTACTAGCAAGATTCGTAACACATGGAACTAAGGTTCTTCATACCTAAGTGAAAGGAGGTTTAATCCAAAGAGAGAGAGAGAGGAATACCAAATACAACACATCCATACTCATAGAGATATGTATTATCAGCGCTCCAGTTAACTCGTAGGTCTTGTTGTTCGTCATTTTCTATCTCTAGAACTCTTTTTTTTTTTTGTCTCAAAGGTCGAATCTCCTTCTTTGGCTCAAATCTGCAAATTTACTCCGTTTAAATGGTTGGGCGTAGGGATGACAATGGGACGGGTTGGGGGCGGGTCTGTCTAAATCATCTCCATCCCCATTACAAAATACCCAAACCCATACCCGCCACATACCCACGTGGAGTGAGGTTTTACAAACTCATCCCCATACCCATGGGTTTCGGATACTCATGGGTAATACCCGCCCCGTATAAGCAATATTATTATATCTAAAGTTGCACATGTATGTCTTCAATTATAACACAAAACATACACAATAAATAGCGGAAATCAATATAGTTATAATATTTCTTAATAGGAAAAAGCATTCAATCCTAAATATTGATTAATCAATAAAATGAAAATATTATATTATATCAAATCATTCATCTTCTAATCTTACACATCTATATAGTAAATAGTTAACATAAACTTGTCAACTAAACAAATCCTCTTTTGCTTCTAAAAGATTAAAGTCTACTAGACTACCAATTATTCAAACACACTAAGTTACACCAATATGCATCGAAATAATTCAAATATAAAAAATGATACGCAATGACCTATTATTATCTCATCAACAATTTGGTAAGGTGGTTGTCTCCAAGATGATTCAGGAGTAAGGAGAGGAAAGGCGGTGACAATGAGAAATTGAGAAAGTAAACTGTGACCGCCTGAGAGGGTAAAAAATTTCAAGGATTTTGATAAATATAATTACATTTTAATAATGTTCTCTTATTTAATTACCTTCGTGCTAATAATAATTTTTAAAAATATATTTATAGCTTATTAAGTATAGCAAAATACCTTGGTGAGTCGGGTTTGGGTATGAAGCGGGGGACACTAAAACCATACCAGCCTCATACCCATCTAGTTCTTTGCGGGTTTTACTCATATATACCCGTCCATACCCGATCAAAGCAAGGATTCTATCTCCATATTGACTGGGTCGAAGATGGGCAGATACCCACGATCATAGGTTTGATTATCATCCCTAATTGGACGAGTCAAGTTGGGCCCTGTCCCACCCCACTCCACAGTCCACACACATCCCACAATCATTCATTCATTCTCCCCCTAAACCCCACCCAGTGGCATACGTCATTCGTGCCATCACTCCCTCTCCCTTTCTCTTTCCATCTCTTCCCCTCTTTCCCCGACAAAGCCGCGAGGGCTGCCTAACCACCATCCACCGTCCACGTGTCGCACCACGCACCGTCCAAAATTCCCCTCCCTCCCACCTCGATCATATATCATCCCTTCTCATCCCATTCCCTTTCCCCCCCTCCCCTTCTCCCCATTTCCAATACCAGAAACCAACAAAACCATTACTACTCTTAACACTACCGCAAAACCTCAATCAACGAGAGGCTGCGGAGGAAGACTTTCTTCGTCGTTATGGCGACCGCGGAGGCTGACATGTACGTGACGATCAATTTCGAGGAGACGGAGCTCAGGCTGGGTCTCCCCGGGCCCACAGTACCACCACCACTGGGTAGTAGAACCGGCGCTGCTGGGAAGAGAGGCTTCTCGGAGACCGTCGATTTGAAGCTCAATTTGTCACCGTCCGCCAAGACGGACGGCTGCGATCCTCATGGTGCCGCCATCAAGACAGCCAACAACGATGAGAAGATGATGAACAAGGACGAATTATCCGCTGCTGCTGCTGCTTGCTCTAACAACGATCCGGCAAAGCCGCCTGCCAAGTATGTTTTATTATTTCTTTTTCCATATAAATTTCGCTTTATATTATTATTCTTTTCCGGCTTGTACGCTCAAGCACGTTAGTAATCCAAACCAGTCCGTATTTCTTTCTGCATATGTAATATAATTAAGAGGGCGTGGTTAATTAGTAGTGAAACAAACGTATGCATATAGAGTCGATGCATGTGATTAGGAGATTCGGGCGGCGGTTAGGACTTGGGGATATGACCCATGACCTGATGACCATGAATGATATTCATATAAAATGGTTTGATTTGGTTTGGTTTGGTTGGCACAGATCAGTGATTAGGATAATCTGGCTGTCTAGTTGCCGAGATCCATTGATTCTCCAGAGTGTGGGAGAATTAATTGTATTGTTTAATTTCTTGGTTTGGGGCCTACTTTGGGGTTGATGGTTTTGGTTGGGTGTCGGGAGCATAAGGGAAAAGAACAAAACATATGGAATCTTTTACTTTCCATTTTCTCGGCTGCCAAACAAACACCATCTAATGAATCTAATCTAATCTCACCTCTTCTCTTCTCTTCTCTTCTTCGTGCTGCTGCTGGTGCTGGGGCCAATTTTTTTTAAAAAAAATAATAAATATCGGGTACTGAAAGCGTGGTTTCACCCACCTGACGTTGTTACATGCTGTGACGGCCGGTATGTTAGAGAGTAGTATAAGATACATCGTAATTTTGTCTCAACAATTCAAGTTATTGGGATCAACTGATTTATGATTCATTACATACTTAAGAAAGTAAGAAAGATACCTCTTTAGCTCTTAATTAATTTACTCATCTCCTTAACAATCATTAGGTAGTTCCTTAAAATAGTATTGTGAACTATCAATTTCATACTACCCATAATACACCCCAACTACTAGAGCTGCATATTAAATTTTGTATTCTTTTTTTTTCTTTCTTTTAGGCTAACCTACTATAGAAAAATGTAATAATTAATCCCATCATTATTGGTGAATAGTGATTTCCACCCGGGAGAAGGAAAAAAAAAAAAGAATGAAGAAAAAAAAACTAATAATGTATGCGTTGGGGTTGAATTTATTTTTATTATTGTTGTTGTGTTGCAGGGCACAAGTGGTGGGTTGGCCGCCCATCCGGTCGTTCAGGAAGAACGTGATGGCTGTCCAGAAAAGTAGTAATGACGCCCAACCTTCCAAGAAACCCGCCGCCGCCACCACCGCCACCACCACCGCCACACCTCCGCCGGCGGCGGCGTTCGTGAAGGTGAGCATGGATGGCGCTCCGTACCTCAGGAAAGTCGACCTGAAACTCTACAACAGCTACAGCGACCTCTCCGAGTCCCTCGGCAAAATGTTCAGCTCCTTCACTATCGGTAATTAATTCTATTTAGTCACCGCCTAGCTAGCTCGTCGCTATAAAATTATTATTAACATCGATCTGGATGATTTTTTTTATTGATGGCGAGAGTTACAAATTCTTCCCACAGGCAATTGCGGACCAAATGGGATGAAGGATTTTATGAGCGAGAGCAAGCTGGTAGATCTCTTGAACGGTTCCGAATACGTGCCAAGTTACGAGGACAAAGATGGAGACTGGATGCTTGTTGGAGATGTTCCTTGGGAGTAAGTCGTTTTTTTGTGGTGGCTAATTGGCTTCTCGTGTTTTTTTGCATGGTAATTTATTCCTCTTGTTTCATCCATAAATGCAGGATGTTCGTGGAGTCATGCAAGCGGTTGCGAATAATGAAAGGGTCTGAAGCAATTGGACTTGGTAAGTACATATATATATATGAAAACATTAAAGAGTCATCACCTTTTTTTTTTTTGCGACAGCAATTTTGTTATTTCCGTGACCAACTTGGTCGCAAAAGCTCTGTTTATCGTACGCATATGCAGTTATGATTAGTTGTGGATTTTGATTTGCATGCAGCACCAAGAGCTGTGGAGAAGTGCAAGAGCAGAAGCTGAAGAGAACCGTTCTGGCGAGTGAATAATAGTTAACCGCGCGCTATAGGAATTGGTCCGGTTGAACGTTAATTCCAAGTTGATTATAAGGCACAATTATATATAAGAGAGGGGGGATTGATCTTCAATAGTAAGCTCATCATACATGCATATATAATATATGTGCTTAATTACTGTAAAACTTCCATTTAGCCCATGTTGCACTTTGTTATATTGTCTTTTATGTAACGTTTGTTTACTCTCACCTTTTGTTGGTTGGCTTTGCTTATTTTTTTGAGTCTTTTGGTTGTCATGTACGAATTACTTTTTGTTTTTCTCCCTCCTCCAACTTGTAAATTTTTATAGATAGTGTACTTATTTTAGTTCATTACCATGTGGGCATAATTATTATGGGAATCTCCTCCATATCTCTTTGATTCTTTTATGGGTTTGTATCTTATCTTATTGATTAATGCTTCTTCCAACTAGTACGTACAGTTGAATTGAGAGGGCAAATTGGATGGTGGAGGAAGGTTCACGGGGACAAAGTGATACCGTGTGGGGCATTACCACGTGGGCTGTGTTGGAGGGTATATTTCATATGTTATTTTCTTTGGGTTGCCATTATAGGTGGCAAATGGATTGATTTATGGATTTGTGAATTGCATTTAGGGGTGGAAATTTGTACGGTATCGGTATTCTAATATCAAATACCGAATTATACCCGAAAGTCAATATTCTCAATCTCAATCTCTAAATAATTTCGGTATCTCAATCCCAATCCCTAAATATTATGGTATCCCAATCCGTATTATCGAATACGAAATTAATTACATTTCAAATAAATAGTTAAATATATAAATTAGATTTGATTGTTTAATTTAGGGCAAAGAGACTAAGCAAAGAGTATTGAGTTTGCCTAGAGCTAGGATATGGATAAGGAGAATGAATGAGAGGTGATATCTCAAGTTCTTGTCATTAGTAATCTTTAATATGACGAATTGAAGGCTGAGAGTTGACTAATACTAGTGTTTGCTTTTTGATGTTATGAAAACAACAAGTTATTAGGTGAGAGATGAGATTGACTTAAATTGGAAAATCAAAATTGAGTTTGATGGGGGCTTTTGAGTTGTGAAACAAAGATGAAATAATCTATGTATAATTAAATGACACACTTGGTGGTTGAGGGTTGTGCAGTAGTGAATGAGAGAGTCTAGTTGAGAGGATAAAATATACCCTAGATTATATTTCGGTATTGATCGGTATTTTGGTATATACCGATTCCAATCACGTAATCCCTAATATCGAATTACAATTGAAATTCAATCTCAATCCCAATCCCAAGAAATAATACGTGTATTTGGTAATACCAAATATAGACAAATTTGGTACGGTATTCGGTATATCCCAAATACCGGTATCAAACTTCCAGCCCTAATTGCATTGGTGGATCCATAGATCAAATGGGTTGGATCCAATGGATTGATGGATTGATGGATTGGATCAAGTGGATTGGTGGATTATCCATGAATCCAAATGACATCCTCAACCAAGGACCAATATATAAAATGTGAAAAGTTTAGGTACTAAAACATTATAATGAAAATATTTAAGGTACCAAAACGTAATTTTTCAATGATATTTTTCATATAAAAAAATAAATTTTGGGTACCAAAATGTAAAACATAAAAAGTATAGGTACCAAACCGTAATTTGCCATTTGGATCCATGGATCAATCAATTCATCCACCAATCCAATTGGATTTGAATCAAATGGATTGGATTTAAATGAATTGGATTAGATAGATATTTTTAATCGATTGTGGATTTGATTGAGAATTGCCACCTCTAATTGCCATCAAACTTATAACCATGGTGTTTCAGTTCGGTGGTAAGGAACCCTACAACAAAAACTTAACTTTTTTAACCAAAGAGTTTACAACCAAACTAAAATTAGTTGTGAAAATGATAGTATATACAATCAATTAGATTTTGGTAGTTAGAATACTACAAATATGGTTATCTGATTGAAGTCAAAGTATTGATAGTCAAATAAAATTGGAAGAGACCAAATAATTTGGTAGCAAAATGATTTTTAATTTTTCCAAGCAAATAATTTTGGTAGCATAGTAATTTTTAGTTTTTCCAACCAAATAATTTGGTAGCATATTGATTTTTACTTTCTCCAACCAACTATTATTGGTTATGAATTTAAGCAAGAAATTTAAAAATCTTAGATAACTAAATAATTTGGTTCCAAATGGAACCAAAGTTTCGTGTTCGGTTTTGAATTAGAGACGTTAAAAATAATGAAATAATAAAATTCAGTAACTAAATTATTTGGTTGTCATAGTGTTCTATAAAAATGTATGTACTATATCTGACTATTTTAAAAAATTAGTGGTTGTATTAGTAATTAAGAAAACAATCCAATGATGTCGATCATTAAGGAGGGTATGGTGGCTTAGACCATCCACATCCATGAAATATCAAATCTATTTTATATGTGGCCCTTACTGCCACATCAACAACTTTTTTCCTTTTCACTACATACCACTTTCGTCTCCTCTACATCAATGAAATCCACCATCTATTTCATTTTGTAGGCCTAACTTTTTTTTTAATAACACTATACATTTTATCTACCTACGTCATTTTACCAATTTAAGATACATCATTAATACATTTTATCTACCTACATATGTTGTAGCTTTAATCATCAATTAAAAATAAATTATGTAATTTAAAATGTGTAAAGTTTAATAAAACTATACGAAACTAATTCACAAGTAATTATGCTTTCGGAATGCAATTGTGACATGTTTATATCCATATATGTATATGTTACTTTGTTTTCCCATTAAGCTTTCAAAATTTAGATAATTAATCTATCAAAAGTTAATAAATCTTACCTAATAAAATAAGTTTGTTATCTTAAATTGGGATTATCAAATGAAAAAAGAAATTAAAATAAGTTTCTTTCCGTTTCCACTTGTAACAGCCAACCCCGATACTTCACCACCTGTACAGATCCAGACACCTTATATATGATCTCTCTCTCGTATGAAGAGCAGATCGAACATCTTCCAATGACAAGTTATCTTTACCAACAATAAAAGAATATACGAAATTATCATATGAACTTGGCAAAGACACAAGCAGGCATAGGGCAACATCTTTATCATTAACTTTCACATCTATATTGCGTAAATCTAACAAAATAGAATAAAGTTGCTCCAAATGTTCACTCAAAGGCGTACCTTCTTGCATCCTCAAGCTGAACAATCGTTGCTTGAGATGCAGCTTGTTGGTTAGAGACTTAGTCATGTATAGACTCTCCAGTTTCAACCACAAGCCCACGACAGTCTTCTCAGTAGTGACTTCAATGATGACGTCATCAAACAACGATAGCTTGATAGTCGAGTGAGCCTTCTCCTCTAGGGTATTCCACTCATCGTCATCAACCGCTGCCTTCTTCTGTTTCGTAGACACCGACCCCCACAACCCTTGTTGTTTCAATTAAGCCTGCATTTTGATCTGCCATA